GCTTGTAGCGGCTTATTTTTTGTGTCCACTTTTATAGTAGCGCATTGTCCGTATTATAAATTTAAATTATTTTTAGGTATTGGCACCCGACTTAAGAGTCGGGTGCATTGCTAATTTATAAGAGGAGTGTTTCCTGGGACAACATGTCGCTGTCCCAGGATGACATTCCACAATTCGTGGCCTTTTTAAAGGCCAAATGTCCTGGCCTCTTAAAGGCATTTTTCGATGAGCGCAGGGGCGCACATGTGATACATGACGACGCCCCTGCCTCGCCGGCGGCCTCCCTTCAGGAGGCCAACGACGAGCTGTCCTCAAACCCACCTTCCCCCGGGGACCACCTAGTGAGTACCCCGGAGCCGATGTCCCCTCAGGAGGTTGCTCCCAACCGCCCCTCCTCTGAAACGGAAATGGAGCTAGACGCTCCCAACGTCGTCGCCGAAACAGGCGACTCCTCCGACACTGCCTCCTCCTCGGAAGAGGAATTTCAAATTGTGGGTGCCAAGCGCACCAAACGCGCGATGCGGGCGCGCGATCTTCCCCCGCCTAAAACCCAACGTGCCAACTTGGCGCACCGGTTCCGGCTAACGCCGATAAAACCGACCGCGATCACGCGGGGAAAGTGAGGCCTCCTCCTCTATAATCATCCAGGACAAGACAGCCTGGAACAGGGTGTCAGCTGCGCTGAAGGAAAAGCGCATATCCTTTACCCATGCAAGGGTAACCTCACTAGGAATCAGAGTAGTGGTTCCCACATCGGCGGATCATCGCCAGTTAACTTCCTTCCTCAGGACAAACAGTGTGGGTTACCACACTTATGCCCCTCGAGGAGGAGAAACGACTGCGCGTAGTAATACGCGGCGTCCCTAAGGAGCTGGACTGCCAGGACATCCTCGCAGATATCCGCTCACAAAACTACCCCGTCCACGAGGTACACAGGATGTACCGCAGCAGGGCCAAAACGCCACTAGACATGGTACTAGTGGTACTAGATCTCTCCCCAGAGGGGAAATCTATCTTCAACATCCGAAGTGTCTGCCTGATCTCAGGCCTATCAGTAGAACCGCCAAATAAGCGGACTTACCCCGGGCAGTGCCACCGCTGCCAAAATTATGGGCACTCCGCCCGAAACTGCTACGCGCGCGAACGTTGCGTCAAGTGCCTGGGAGACCACGGCACCAAGCACTGCACTCGCGTGAGTGGCACCCCGACCCCACCTAGCTGTGTACTCTGTGGCACACAGGGCCACACAGCTAACTACCGCGGATGTCCCCGCGCTCCCCGTCCCGGCCAAAACAAGGCCTCCGCAAAAGCCACAAAGGCTCAGGCACCCCGCGCAGCACGCCCCGCGCCCCCTACTATCCCGCAGCCCTCAGCTGCACCACCTCCCCGCCAAAAAATGCTTGGGTGCGACCTCCGGTCGTCAAGGCGACCCCCTCACCCACCATGCCATCTGCAACCGCTCCCACGCTTGCCAAGATTGTGGCATCGCCCGCTCCTCCGCGCCCCGCCCCGCAAACTGGAACGAACATAGGCTCAAGCTTCGCAGCCGACTTCGCACTGGTAGCGAACTCGCCAGCTCCATCGACGCTGGCGAGATTACGGCCCTGGCCTCCAAATTAAGGTCAGTCAACGACCCACAAGAAAGACTCGCAGCCGTCTGCGAGCACATCGGCGTACTAGTCGCCATCCTCAATTTTAACAATTAATTATGGATCTAAGGGCGAAAAGATGCAAACCTCGGTCCGTTAAGTTAGCGTTTTTCAACGCTAACGGACTACAAGGGCAAAGAGACGAAGTCCGTGAGTTTCTCACCGTCCATCAGGTGGACGTTCTCCTACTACAGGAGACCTTCCTCAAGCCTTCAACACGCGGTCCAAGAATCGCAAACTACAATATCGTACGCAATGACCGCATCAGTCGCGGCGGCGGTACGTTAATTTATTACCGAAGGTCCCTTCAGTGCATTCCGATCGACACGCCTCCGCTCGTAAACATGGAAGCCTCGATATGCCTTCTCGCGATGACAGACCACCGACCGATCTATATAGCATCGGCATATCTCTCTCCCTCCAAAAAGCTACTCCGGGCCGACCTCCAAGCTCTCATGGACCTGGGGGATTCGGTAATTATTGCCGGAGATCTAAATTGCAAGCACAGCCTTTGGAGCTGTGCTTATCCGAACCCAAACGGTCTCACCCTGGAACGCCTTTCGCTCTCCATGGGTTTCGACATCCTTCCCCCAGTGCACTTCACGCACTATCCGGCAAACACTGCTCATCAGCCCTCCATCCTCGACATGGCCCTACTAAAGAACGTAGCCTTAAGGCTGAGTTCTATGGAGGTCCATGCCGAACTCATCTCCGACCACCGCCCCGTCACATTCTCGCTAGGCCCACCTGCAGACGGGGCGCCTCAATTTAAAACGGTCACGGACTGGAGCCGGCTCGAGAAAGTCCTCGAGTCGACTAACTCTCCGGTACTGGACCGCATCCCGGACGTAGTCGAATCTATCGAGGAGACGACTACAGCCATTGACGCGCTAACAGAGCACCTGCAGTCGGCAGTCAAGGACTGCTCCAGGGAGGTTCCGGATACGGGCGACCGTAGATGGAACCTGCCTGATGATGTAAGGGCTCTGCTGCGCACTAAGAATGCAGCCACACGAGCGTATGACCGCTATCCCTCAGAAGAGAACCGAACCCGCCTGCGAGATTTACAGCGCGAAGTAAAGAGTCGCATAGCGGAACTTCGGCGAGACAGATGGGATAAGTTCACCAAAGAACTCACCCCCTGCCATACCGCGTACTGGCGAGTTGCCAAAACCCTCAAAACAGACCAGTGTTACTCCGACCTTCCGCCCTTAGTCCGAACAAACAACAGTCCGGCCTTATTTGATGAAGAAAAGGCCGAATGCCTAGCAGACAGCCTAGAGGCCCAATGCATGCCGAGTACCCTTCCGGTGCCCGATGATCATCTAGAGAAGGTAGAATCCGAGGTGGAGCGAATCCTGTCGATCCCTCCAGTAGAGTCACTCCCCCCGTTACACTGGATGAGGTGCGAACACTCATCAAAGGAACCCCCAACCGAAAGGCACCCGGTGCCGACGGTATCTCTAACAGACTCCTTAAGAGTCTGCCAGAAACCATTCTGCTACTTCTAGTAGCGATCTTCAATGCGGCAATTACCAATGCCATCTTTCCAGATGCTTGGAAAGAAGCCGATGTCGTAGGCTTTCCCAAACCTGGGAAAGATAAGTCCCTTCCCACCAGTTTTCGCCCCATCAGTCTCCTCAGCTCGCTGGGGAAGCTGTATGAGAAGCTAATACTCGCACGCCTGAAAGACTGGCTACAGTCCAAAGGCATCCTGATCGATGAGCAGTTCGGCTTTAGAGCCAAGCACTCAGCTGTTCATCAAGTACATCGTGTAGTAGAACACGTCCTCAACGCCCGACACCTGAAATCCAACGGGGTCACATGTGCCCTGTTTCTCGACGTAGCGAAGGCCTTTGACAAAGTCTGGCACAGCGGCTTGATTTTCAAACTGCACAAGATGGGAGTGCCAGACAGGCTCGTGCACATCATACGAGCCTTCTTGTCCAATAGGTCATATCGCTATCGCGTCAATGGAGTGCGTTCCAGCGCACGACCGATTAGAGCCGGCGTCCCTCAAGGCGCTGTCCTCTCCCCCACCCTCTTCTCGTTGTACACCAACGACATCCCGCGTCAGCCCCGAGTGCAAATCGCCCTCTTTGCTGATGATACAGCCCTATATGTGGACAGCACGTCGGCCGCCTGTGCAGCCAACAGGCTTCAACGGGCGGTGGACGAGCTGGCCTACTGGTTCAGAAAATGGCGCATCGAAGTCAACCCAGATAAAAGCGCCGCCGTGCTTTTCACGGCCAAAAGAAAACCATCCCTTCCCGCCTCTATTCAGCTGTTTGGCACGCCCGTCCCCTGGACGAACGAAGCCAAATACCTAGGCGTGACACTAGATTCCAAGTTGAGTTTCGCATCTCATCTTAAGCGCGTCCGAGGCCTGGCCAATTTTATACTGGGACGCCTCCATCCCTTTATTAACAAGCGCAGCCAATTGTCGCTTAACGCAAAGCTGACGCTCTATAAAGCATGTATAAGACCGGTGATGACGTACGCTAGTGTCGTCTTCGCCCACGCCCTTCCTTCATTACTTCACCCCCTTCAGGTGGTGCAAAATAAATTTCTGCGACGGGCCACGGGCGCCCCGTGGTACGTGCGCAACGTGGATCTACACCGCGACCTCAAAATACCCACTATAAGGCAATTTATGAAGCAAGCGTCTCGACGCTACTTTGCCTCAGCCGAGTCCCATTCAAATCCGCTCATAGTAAGAGCGGTCAAATACAAACCCCCCATAGAGAACGTCGCTCCAAAACGTCGTCGCCCGAGGCACGCACTCTTGGACCCCGATGATCCAACTACGACGGCAAACGCGTCTCCCTCCCTACCTACCGCGGAACCCTCGACAAGAGCCCCTACAAACACACCCACACATCGCACACACCGCCCCCGCCGGCGGGGGCGAAGAACCCTCGCGACACACGGTCCGCGCGCGATCAGGTTTGCGCCCGAGCGCATAACAACCGCGTCGCAATCTCACCCACCCAGACGTACCGACCCTTCGCCGTCCCTCGACGGGGGTCGAAGTGCGGTGGCCTAAGCCGAGGCCGAGCCACTCTGGCGCCCTTAGGCGCACACACACACCGCAGTCCATAAGAAAGAGTCGACACCTCTGTCGCTCCCCTCTCGCGGGCTTGGAGTGCCATCAGCACTCGCCCCTGCATTCGCGTCCGGTGAAGCTGTAAAGGCCACACACGGCCAACAGCAAACACATTCAGAAAAAAAAAAAAAAAAAAAAAAAAAAAAAAAAAAAAACTGGAAAAGTTTTGTAACGGAGTTACCTTCGCCGGCCTGTTGGTTCGTGGGAGGTTTTAATTTTCCCTCCTACCCTGCGAATCTGCCGAGCATTTCTAAAGCTCCCCAGGAAAAATCGCTTTTACTTCATTTATAATAAAATTAAGGATTTTATATTTAAATTTTCTTTTGTTAATTCTTCTATTCTTCTTTCCAGGTATACCGTTGACATGGAACAGAACGATGCAATCACATTCCTCGCTCTGGTGTCCCACGTCCTATGCTACGCCAATTCTGCAATAAACCCTTTGATCTACAACTTTATGAGTGGTAATTTATTTTAATTATATACATTTTTATTATAAATAAATATTTTTTTAATAATAATTATTAAATATCATATATTAAAGTATTAGCAATTTTGCTGTCCTAAAGAGCAACAAAATTTCGAGAAATGTCTTCGGCATTAACATTGGGAGATTAAATATTTTTTGACATTTTTGATTTTTGCCTTTTCTGTTCTAATATATTCTACTAGCTTTTACCCGTGACTTCGTCAATGTGATCAACATAGAAAGTAAGCCTGTGTCCTTCTCGATCTCATATACATAATACGTGTATACCAAATTTCAATGTGATTGGTTAAATTGATAAGGCGCTAAGTAACAAATAAACAAACTCACTTTTACAATTATAATATTAGTCAAAATAGCATGAGGAGATTCTCAGATTAACACGGCGCGTACAATTCAAGTTATTTACTCTTCTTTGCATGACTTTTTTTTTATTGGTGAAATAAATCAAAGTGATATAATTCATGTCCAAAAGTAAAGTAAATATGGTTAAAAATAAATAAATTTAACAGCTATGTTTTTTTTTCTGCATAGTACATTAAAAAGGTATCCAGACACGATCAACTTAAACTTGTTCTTTTATATAATTTTTGGGCATTCAATGTTATGATGGAAATTTCCACCATTATGCAAATAATGGTTAATTACTTCGACTTTCACCATTATTGTCAAGAGCATACGAGTCTATATACTTACAGAGATCAATTATGTTTTTACCAGGAAAATTCCGACGGGAATTCCGTCGCTCGTTCTGCTGCTCAGCGAGCCCTATCAGAGAGAACTTCACCACACTGACGCACCTCACGACGTCGAAAACGAAGCGACCCTGTGACCTTGTCACATTTGAATGCAGAACACCAGCTCACTACAAAAGCGTGTGCAGTAGCAGCTTAGTCGGAAACGGTTATAGGAACAATTGTCTTAGATAAGCTGTAAAGGAACGTCATGATTCGGTTTACATTTTTTTTTTATTTTTAAGTTTTTTTTTAATTAAAATATAATCGTATCTTCGCCTACGCTATGGATATACGCAGGCCAGTACCAGTGAGGAATAATAAGTGTTGTTGAAGTAAAGTCAGTTGGTATGTTACGACGAAATCACCAAGATGTTTTTTGTGATACGTGAAATGGCAAATAAATTGACAGCCCACCTCATAGGAAGTGGTAATCGTCACCTATAGACATGAACAGCACCGTGGACTTCACAGAGCACGCTGTGATACCTGTTTATATATTTTGTTTTTTGTTTTTTGTTTTTTATTTTTTATTTTGTTGCTTTTTTTATTTCATTCTTTTATCTCTTTTACTGTTTATATAATAAACAGTAAAAGAGATAAAAGAATGAATGAATGTATGTTTTTTTTATTGTAATTTGTGTTTGTTTTTAATACCACTGAGGTGGCAAACAAGCATACGGCCCACCTGATGGTAAGTGGTTACCGTAGCCTATGAACGCCTGTAATACCAGAGGTATTATTACACGCGCGTTGCCGACCCTGAAGAAACCTCTTTACGCCCCTTTTGAAGAACCCAATGCTGTAGTCTCTATTATTGTAATTTGTGTTCTGTAAGTTATGTAAATAAATTATCTATCTATCTATCTACTCCTTATGCGTTACCACTCCTGAGGAATAGATTTTGTCGCCACCAAAACCAATATGTTCAGTGACAGTTTAAATAAGAATTATTAAATGATTAATGCTCTAGATCGCAATCGGAGTTCTTGTAAATAATCAAGTAATCAATCAGAGATATTGATTTTATTAAATTTGACAGATATTCCGTCATTGCCTCACTTCATTGAGATTTGGAATGAACGCTTTTAATGAATCGAAAATATAGTTAAATAAATATAACATATGTATCATTATCATAATATATTGTATATATTATGTATCATACGTACAATATATATATATATATATATATATATATTGTACTATATATACGAGTATATATATATATATATATATATATTGTACTTGGCTTTTATATATTTAATTTTAATAATTTCTCTTATCTGTGTGCTGTAAGTAATGTAAATAAATTAAATATCTAATAAATTATATATTATATGTGTGTCTATATAATTATAATATTATTCGGTGATATATTTATTGTTATATCAATCTTTTAATTTATTTTTTTGTATAATATATATTTGTTGTTATTGTTGCCCTCAAACGCTTTCTGTTTTTATGTAATATTTATTTAGTAGCCATTTATATTAATTTTATTGGGCAATAAACAATAAATGACTAAATATTAAATATCAGAGGGAGACTTTGTACAAAAGTCGTTAACTTGGGTACCTCTGTCCCATTCGTGTTTCAACCGTAATGCAGTTGTGTTTGCATAGCTGGGATATGGCAGTGAATTTACAGGGTACAGAGGAATAACATCTGAGTCCTCAGAAATGGTAACGCTTGGGAGGTATCATGGGCGAAACAGTATACATATGTTATGTCCATGGTACTGCTCATGTCTATAGGCGACGGTTACCACTTTCCATCAGGTGGACCGTCAGTTTGTTTGCCATTCTAAGTAGTATAAGAAAAAACAATTGTTATTTAAAATTGACAGCAGATTCCAATGTTGCCACTCTCCTAGTGAAGTGTGGTAAATGGCGAATGACTGCTATTTTTTTTTAATCAAATCATGACATTCACCAAGGTCTATAGACCTTTACATACAACAATGGTGAACTAAATGGTGGGAGGTTTATTGAAACGGGAAATGAAACAATCAATTGAATTTACCAGCTGTGACAATATTATTTTATTGGCACTTGATCAAATTTTGGACTGATAGAAAAAAAAAATGTATTTTTTAATAATGTTCTTTAGCTTTTCTCGAGCATTTTTGAAAAACAACTAATACAGTCGATTCAGCATCTGTGTTGACATACATTGACGCAATTGATTGCGATTGAAATTCAATTAATTAAAAGTGCAATATCTATGTATTATGGCAATATCTATACATATATTGGCTTAACAACAAATATGTTAGATGTCGGTTGTCCAATATATTAGAATATCGAAAAGTAGAACCCGCTCGTAATGAATATTCAACTGGCTAATGGGTGGTCATCGATGTCCAGAAGAACTCAATATATAGATATCAGATATTATCAATCTTAATCAATGAATACAAATATACCAGATATATATATATACCAGATATATATATATACCAAAGGAAACACAGCTATGCAAACACAACTGCTTCACGGTAGAAAAGTCGAATGGGACAAAGGTACCTCTGTTCCATTCGTTTTACAAAGTCCGTGAATATATTATATATTGTATATTTAGCTGTGTTTCGGTTTGAATGGATGGTCATCAATGTCCAGAAGAACTCTTTATATATATATGCCTCACTCTACGTGTTCTACCGCTTGTACAATGGATTGTGCATGAGGAATTATTCAATATGACAAAACGGTATACTCTGTTATGTCATAGTACTGCTCGTCAATAGACAGGAAGTTACCACTTTCCATCAGGTGGCGTACAACGTCAGTTTGTTTGTCTCCCACGAACAGTTGTATAATATATATATATATATATATATATATATATATATATATATATATATATATATATATATATATATATATATATATATATATTTTACTAATAAATTTCACGCAGCTTTCCTTGTACAGGACTCGTTTTCTTTCATTCCCGTAGCAACTTAAAAATACCTTCTTGTTTTTCTTGTATACAAAATTTTGTGTCGGATGATCGTTCACGCTAATCTTCGAAACCGAAACGATTTTGATAAAATTTTGTACATATTTATCGCTCCAATATGAGAGATACCATAGCCATAATAAGAGAATAGACTCGGCAAGTGTCGATTGAGGATAAAACAATATTTGCCGAGTTCAGTAGTTTTTCTTATAAAAAAAATTCTTTATTAAAAAGATCTGAAACTTTTAATTCTCTTTGCTATAATATCTTACTTAGACGAAGGAAATTTTTTTCTGCGGTAAAATTTTCCCTTTGTTTACCTCATCCTACCCACGCTTTTAAGTCCAAAAAGAAGCATCCTCGGGCTATAGTTTAATCCCACCATAATAAATCCGCTAAAATTGTACTCTATGATCCACACGTACTGTTTTTTTTTTTTTTGTGTAACTTAGAATGGCAAACAAGCTGACGGCCCACCCGATGGAAAGTGGTAACCGTCGCCTATAGACATGAGCAATATCATGGATATAACAGAGTATACTGTTTCGCCCATGATACCCCCCATGCCAGAGGGAGACTTTGTACAAAAGTCGATTGCTTGGGTACTTCTGTCCCATTCGTGTTTCAACCGTGAAGCAGTTGTGTTTGCATGGCTGTGTTTCGGTTTGAAGGGTGGGATATGGCGTGAATTTACTGGGTACAGAGGAATAACACCTGAGTCCTCATAATGGCAACGCATGGGGGTATCATGGGCGAAACAGTATACTCTGTTATGTCCATGGTATATGTCTATAGGCGACGGTTACCACTTTCCATCACCGTCAGCTTGTTTGCCATTCTAAGTATAAAAAAATATGCATGTATAAAAAAAATCACTACTACGATATGAACAATACTGTACACAACGACAAAAATAATACAATTATTAGACTGTTGTAAATACTTGTAACTTGTAAATCGGTATCGATCTAGCTAAAATAAGTACCTATTCAAGACATACAATATATTTTTAATAGATTTTTTTTAAGAAATAAGTCCTAAATACAGTCAAATGACGCCTAGGGTTCCTTACATAAATGTATAAATATGATTAAAAATTATATTTATTATATTTTTCATACGAAATAGACTATATTTAGATACCTATTTGTTATTATTGATTTATTATTGATTATACAATTACGTTAATATATTTTTTTTTTATTTGGATCGTAATTGTTATTAAAAAGTAAATGAACAACTTCGTTTTTGGTGGTTTTTTTTTACACATTCTTTAAAAATGGTGCTAATTAAATATTCTTTTTTTTTTCTATATCCACATACATATATATGTATTAAAAATGAATGTACAAAAGAGTATAAATAAATAAATGCTTTATACACTTTAAATATTTTAGATTTTTCGCTACAGAAACTTAGAAATTTAGGGAGGGAATGGTTTCTAGTCTCAGATTTTCTATGATAACTATAAAACTATTTATATACAAACCGTATAGAAACTTTCTCTTTTCGGGTTCTTATGGAACAAATCCCTTTAAGGGATAAGTCCGCCTGTGTAGATTTTTACTGTAACCTAATATATAAATATATACTATACTTTAAGTAAATGTACAAAAGTATATAAATAAATAAAGTACATAGTATAAAAATAAATAAAAATCAGTTTAAAATATACAAATGAAGCTCTTTCATATGATATAATACCTTACTTGGACTAGCATTTGCATTCATAGTTTCTGATACGTGTATATAACAGACGGTATATACATAACCCATTATTTCAGCCGTTAACTGTCCGCTGTGACAAACAGACGGACAGAAAAAGTCACACCATAACCCTCATTATACGACTATCCGGCCGTCCATTTTAGTACGGAACCCTAAAAAGTACGTGCCTATTCTATAAATCTCGTCCACATGGTGACGGAGTAAGAATGCAATATATCTCGATTCCGTTTACATTCCGAGGATTCGCCATGAAAACACAATAACATTACATGTATAAAAAAATCCCCATAAACTTAATAATTTCACTATTGTTAATTTATTGTAATGAAAAAAAAAAGATTAAATTCGAACTAAAGAAAATATAATTGTTTGTAAAACAAACAAAACAGTATTGTGATAACATTTTATCATCATCATCATCATCATCATCATCATCCACTGCTGAACATAGGCCTACCCCTAATCAGAAGTTGTTCCAGTAGTCGCCACGCTTGGCAGGCGAGTTGGCAACAGCAGTTAGACTTTAGTGATGTTTAAAGAAAAACACTCCTGCCTATATCTCAGTCATTAAATTCCCTTTGTTGCCTACTACGACAGCCACCGGAAAGAAAGATGTAGCCTATTCTATGCCGGGACCACACGGCGAACATTTTATACGTAACATTAACTTAATATTTTAGAAATGGATTAAATAATAAAACTAGGTACTTTTTTCTTTACTATAGCAATATATAATATAACCGACTACTGGCCTTCTCTCCCCATTAGAGAAATATATATCATTATTCATCAACATAATGAGGCGGCCTAGTATAGCTGTTTTACCTAGTCGCTAGTCGATGTTATGAATATCTGTAGAAGAAAAAGAAATTTATACATTTTTATATTTTTATTCCGTAAGCAAATGCAATTATATTTTTCTTCATGTTTGCAAGATGCAAAAAAAACTATTGTAAATATTAATAAATATTATTATAATAATAAATAATTTAATAAATAATAAAATATTAAGTATTTTAAGAGATTTTATTTATTTTTTATCTTATTCCATATTGAAATATTAATGTATTTAATTAAGGCTTACTTGTCGTAATGAGATAATAAGTTTTTTTATAGCATTATTGTTATTAGTGATTATTACAAATAAATAAATAAATGTTTTTGTAAATATTATTGTCAGTATAAAATAAATATTCATAAAATAATAATGTAGTCGTTTTTTATTAATATCATCATCACCTTTACATATATACGTACTTAGTATTTGCCAAGGAAATGGGACTACTTTCTTTGCCAATCACACAGGTAAAGTCGCAGTTACAACTAATATTTATATACAAGTAAATGATATTCAATATGCAATTAATTCTTAATTTTCTTTTAATAAAGGAAATAAAGAATTTCATAATTATTAACATTTATTCGATACGTTAATTGCCTTTGAAATGCAGAAACCAGAAGTGCATTTGCATCGATCGATTCATATTTATGTATATACTAGTTGTGTCATTTTGATATGCTTAATTTTAAGTATATTTATTAATTTATTTAACTCTTTATGGTACAAGAAACATAAAAATAATTAAAATGATTATCAGAGAGAGACTTTGTACAAAATTCGTTTGCTCGGACATCTCTGTCCCATTTGTGTTTCTACCGTGAAGCAGTTGTGTTTGCATGGCTGTGTTTCGGTTTAAATGGTGAGATATGGCAGTGAATTTACAGGGTACAGAGGAGAGTACCTGAGTCCTCATGAAGGGCAACGCGTGGAGGTATCATGAGCGAAACAGTATACTCTGTTATGTCCATGATACTGCTCATGTATATAGGCGACGGTCACCACTGACCATCAGGTGGGCCGTTAGCTTGTTTGGCATTCTATGTAGCATAAAAAATGGCGTATAAATAATTCAAGTGCATAAAGTACAGATTAAAATATATATATAAAGTTACATAAGGCGATCTTATTGCTAGAGCAACCTCTTACAGACAACCTTTGGTTTAAGAAGAACAGATAGAAGTGGGTAGGTATCATATTATAAGTATTGTAAGGATAAATAAAATATGAGAAGAAAAAATGTAAGGATTGAGAGGTCATTGACACTCGGTTCTCTGACTAAACCACAAGGAATAGGGTGTGAAAATAAACGATTAGTTTAAGTGTAGACAGAAGAAATAATTACTAAATTAATTAATAAATTAAAAGACTAATAACATAAAACAAAAATTAAATTATATGTCTACATTAACTTATTTTTTGTATAACTTTTATATTGTTAACATTACAATTAATATTTATTAAATACATGTAAATGCGATGTGGAACGGATCATTTCAATAAAATGATAAAATGTATGACGCATAATAAAATGCAAACACGGAATACCATGAACACCATGCGAGACAAAATGAAAAGTATTCTCATTGCATTGTAGCATCAAACAGTACTTATACTGAAAAGCACTTATATTATAAAAATGCATTATTTTATTGCATTATTAATGTGTTTATTTATAAACGAGATTAGAAGCGAAAAATGTACGTCTTTCCAACAAAAAATTATTACAAAAATTCCTGAGAAATTAGCTAATGTGATTAATAATACATTTGGAAGTATAATAAATAGAGTTCTAAATAAAGATAAATCTATAATTGAAAGTATATATGAGAAATATATAAACGCATCGAATACTGAAGATAAAAATCTGAACATAACACAGTTATTAAATAAATATGGTTATCCTGTGGAACAACATGAGGTGACTACCAGCGATGGATACATACTGACTATGTTCCGAATACCTAATAATGGACCACCAGTATTATTAATGCATGGTGCTCTTAGTAGCTCTGATGACTTTCTAACGATTGGCTCTAATAGTGGACTTGGATACCTTCTAGCTGATGCAGGTTACGACGTTTGGTTGGGTAACGCCAGAGGCAACCAACATTCCCGACGTCACATCACCCTGTCGCCATCCTGCGCCGAATTCTGGGACTTCAGCTGGGACGAGCACGGTCGGTATGATCTGCCAGCTAAAATCGATTACATTTTAAACAAAACTGGTGAAGAGCAATTGATATTCGTAAGTCATTCTATGGGTTCCACTATGTATTTCGTATGTTGTTCTTCATTGCCTGAATACAATGCAAAGATAAAACTAATGGTAGCACTATCCGCAGTGGCATTCAATATTGGAAGTCCGTTACTTAGAATATTTTCACCGGCCAATCCTGTTTTGACGGAACTCGCGAAAGCAGTGGGATTATACGAACTTTTACCGAGGAACGCGTTACTGCAATATTTAACAGATACTTTCTGCGGAACCCCTGCTACAGCTACGTTAGTCTGTGGTAACATACTGTTTCTGTTTGCTGGCGCTGATTACTCTCAAGTTAACGCTACTGCATTGCCAGTAATTTTCGGTCATTATCCCGCAGGGATGGGTACTAAAGTAGCCTTGCATTACGGACAGTTGGCGTTAACAGGAAAATTTTCACGTTACGATTATGGATTTTTTGAAAACTTAATAATGTATGGTTCATTAACTCCTCCTGATTATGAATTAGATAAAATCACTTCTCCCGTTGCAATATATTATGCAACTAAAGATAGAGTCACGCCTCAAGCGAGTGTCGATGCCATAAGTAGCAGATTAGGCAACGTAGTTAAACTGACCAGAGTTCCCTATGACGATTTCTCTCACGCTGATTTTTTGTTTGCTAGAGATGTTAAGGAATTATTGTATGACGATGTTTTGGACTTGATTTATAAATACAGTCAACCCTGATCTCAATAATTTTTTAGACAAATATTTTGTTTATATTTTAATTTTTTTTTTTTGTAATGTGTATAAACTTATTGGCGTTATTATGATTAATAAAATGTGTTTGTCTGTAAGTAATATTTTATTTATTCTATTCTATTTAGTCATTAATACAATTTGGTGCCTTAACTGGGCATATGCCATTAAGTCATATACTATACAATATGGGTCTATCTTTGGACACACTATGCAGATTATGCAGTGAGGAATCGAAATTCAAGAAACATCTGATATGCAGCTGTGATTCATTGGCAAGTATGTGTATGAGTCTACCGGGAACGGCTTATCCGGAGCCAAGGGACTACAGATATCTTAAACCGTAGAATATCGCAAAATTAACACATAGGATCAATAAAATGATAGTATAAAGCGGAGGAAGCACAAAAGATCCCAATAGGTCGACATGTAATGGCTTAGCTGACCCCATATGCAAATAAAAGCAAATAAATGCACAATAAACCTAATAAAATAAACCTAAAATAATAGAAGGAAATATTCTACAATAATCTTCTGCATACCTCAAATCCGCTCATGTTTCTGCCTGAATGCTTCTCATGAAGCAGCTGCGATTTCTTGGCTCTATTGCAATTTGAAGCAGCATATTGACATAGCAATGATATTACAAGGTACAGAGGTGTAACATAGTCCTCGAGAGTAGCAACGCATGTGGCGTACCTTTTTTTTTTAATGGATAATAATGGAATGGTAACCCCGTCTACGCTATCGGCACCAGTGAGGGATGATATTTGAGAATGAAAGGTCAGGTCAGTTAGGCCATCGTGATGAATACACCTGGAATTCAGCATGATGGTTTCTAGGTAAGCGACGTGGAGGTCGACCTGACGGGGTATATTTCTAGCAATGGGGCTGGTAATCCGCATTACTAACTTTCCCTCTCCCCCACATGAGGGGTACCTTGGGCATAATAGTGTATTCTGTAACGGTCATGGTGCTGTTCATGTCTATAGGCGACGGTTACCACTTTGTACGTGCAATACAAATATTTGTATTGCACGGAATTCGAACTCGCTACCATTGGGAAAACGAGGCAGTGTGAAAATCTGTAACACTGCTAAAATTGTCAATAATTCTTTAAACCAATAATGCAAGGTAATTGCTCCTTAAATGGATTAATAAAATTACTCGATTAGACAACTGGAAGGCCGGGGCGATTGCGCAATCTGGTTTGACCATTTGTCTCCATAAATGGCCCCCATTACACAATTTATTACTCTTGAGTTCCCTTAAATTTAACCATTCCCGTAATAACCATCTATTTATTTATACCAACAGTACATTTATCTTAAATTTAACCATTCTCATAATCTCTATCTATTTATTTATTTATCAAGGCATACCAACAGTATATGTATTAAAAAAGATACATTTATATAAAAGATCAAATAATGGCCGTGTGGTCCCGGCATAGAATAGGCCTTCCCTTCCTTTCCCGTGAGTGTCGTAAAAACCGACTACAAGAGGGCAAGAAATGGGCAGCAGCGTGCCTCTTAAAATATCTCCAAAGTCTAGTCGTAAAAGATGACTAAGTAAGAGCGAGAGATGGGCAACAGTGTCCCTCTTAAAACATCTTCTTTTCCCTCTTAAATCATCCAATCCGCCTGCCAAGCGTAGCAACTACCGACAAAACTCCCAAAGGAGGAAGCTTATGTCCAACAGTGGACAGTTAACAGCTGATGATGATGATTAAATAACGAGGATGAAGCACCTATCAAAAAGTTCACTACAATACAACTACAAATATATATGTACCTATATATATTTTATGTAAATTATTTGTTGTGTACAAAAATTAAGACTAAAAACTCTACTCAGCTTCTGCATTACGAGCGTTTATTGCAAAAAATAAAAAAAAATAACTTATACCAGAAGCAACTAAAAAAAAACCATAGATAATCTTGTTCTCAAACAAACCAAAGAGTATCAACATTACAAGAACGGCAAACCACAGAGCCCCTATTATTTAATATCTATTAAATTAACATTAGTGGCGACCCCGTACGGGCAAATGCAGTGTAGGACGCCCCCCATTAGATAGAATGATGATCTCAAATGCTTTGCAAGGAGTCAGTGAATGCAGGTGACTTAGGATCGTTCCTTATGGCAGTCTATGGGGGAGGCCTATGTCCAGCAGTGGACGGATAATGACGGAAATGATGATGATGATGATGATGAAATTCACATGAAGCTGTATTATTTCATATACAACAGTTTTAGATTACATAACATAGTGTCTTCATAAAAATGCTTTGTTAATTGTAGCAAAACCTACTTTAAAATTAAAAACTAAACTACTGAATCTGTTTTGATAAAATTTCTATGAAATAAATGTCTAAAAAAAGACATTTCAGATGAAAAAAGAATTTTCCAAATCGGATTGTAACTGATGGATTGAACTGACCGATTTCGAACCCTATTTTTTAATTACGGTTGAAAACAGGACAACTTTTTATACATGTGTGCGTTAATAGGGGGAACGCTGGGGGAAGGGTTTGCTAGTAATGGGGTTTAATTTCCACATTACTAGCAATACACCCTATCAGGTCAACCTCCACGCGGTTCCCCCTGGAAACTATCGTGATAAATTCTTATCTAATTCGTCACTATGTGCCAACTGATCTACTTCATCCTCACCTATCATCACTCACTGGTGCCCCATTCCCTCCCATTTCATTGTTAAACATTAAAAAAACATGACGTACGCGTACATTTATTACCTCAATAAATACAAAATATAAAGAACTACTTTCTTATACTATATATATATATATATCTATATGGGAGAAATGATATTATAAGGTTAAATTGTAGAAAGAAAAAATATACAAAATTCTTACAAATATTTATATTTGAAAAATAAATTAAACAATGCAAAATGAATTGTAATGATGCTTGTCTTTACTAATTACTTTGATTTATATCCAAATATAGACAAAAAATGACTTTCCATTTTTAAATCATTAAACATTACTGTTATTTAATTAATGTTTATATATTATTTGTAATCAAAACGTACCTATGTCTGTTTACATTAAACAAAAAAATACCCAATTTAATTTTTGAAATTTCGCCGATTTTGGTAAAAAAAATTATCTAATTACTTCTAACACTGAAGAAAGCGCGTTTTGTTATGAAAAAAAAAATTGCTGTCAAAATTTAATCAGTCAAAAGCTTATGACGAGGCTGTATGGGTGATGCTCTTTGCCTGTCCAATTTAGACGAATTTTAAAACTACAACATCGATTGTCCTGATCATCTATATAAACTTTCTCTAAATATCCCAACCAAGCAATTAAGATTTACTTTATTTCTTCCATTGCTTTTCACTAAATATAGAAAAAATTAAATAAATTGAATGTTGATCTTATTCAATCTATGTTAGCTGAACTTAAACCAGAAATTTTTTAACATCTCTGTAAATTATTGATGCCCATTAATTCTTCTCTTTCCGCGTCTAGGGAAAGTAGATAAAGTTTTGTTTGAGAAATCAGTTCAAGGTACAATAGGACTGATATACCCGAAGAAGGTATAGCTCTTAAAATAAAATATAAAAAAAATAAAATAAAAAAAATGTCTAGTGTGCAATCGATAACTGTATCAAATATCTAGAGATCTCAATTTTGATTTATTTAATTCTAAGCTGTAATCCGCAAGACGTATGCTGAGTCAGTGATTCTTTGATAGTTCATCTTAGAACGTGTGAGTTCAACACTTTATTTTGCATAACTGCCTATCTACAATATTTGTACCTATTACTTTAAATTTAATTGAGTTAATTGTACATAAAAACGTTGTGATATGCATTTAATTAAATCTCGTTTTAATTTGTAAAAAACCTGTAATTGGTTTTTTGTCTTTTTTGATATTTTTTAATAATATAATTTTGTAGCTATTGATCTCTTAAAAAAATAAATAATAACATTAGTTTTTTATACTACTATGGTAACAAACAAGCATATGGCTCAACTGATGGTAAACGGAATTACCATAGCCTATGTAACTCTTGTAACACCAAGGATATCACGCGCGCGTTGCCGACCCTTAAGAAACCTTAATACGTCCTTTTTGAAGAACCCCATGCTGTAGTCTCTAGGGACAGCTTCGGCATTCCCATGAAACTACAGCATAGGGGCTGCCGAGGCAGAAAGATCATTCCACGACCGGAATGGGGAGGAAGCTTCTCTAAAACCGCACGGTAGGTAACGTTTCGGATTCAAAGGTACGAGAATGGATTCTCTGCCGATAGCGAGCGGTATGATAATGAAATATGGCTATAGGCATCATGTTGAAGAGTTCTTCAGAACACAATCCGTTAGACATCATCCTTTATTAGTCAGTCAAACGTTAAATTAGCTGACTAAATTGTGACTCGTTACTTAATTCTCGACCCTTCATCTGTATAATAAAAACAGCTGTTTATTTAGCAGTATTTACACACATGTGAACAGAGTAAAATAAGATCCAAGTACTGTAACGTCAAAGGAAGGCAAAGTCACAATAATCTAAAATAATGTGTGAACTTTCCCTGAATATTAAAACTTTGAAAATACTGTATTATTTTAGAAGTAAGTAAAACAAAAAGTTCTGATTACAGATACATGTTCATTAGAACATGAATTAAGCTTTGATTTTCTGCTAGTTATATCCCTCGGCTTCGCTTGTGTGAATCAATAAATACATAAAGAGTCCTATATACTAAGCTAGGACATAACCGACCAGTGTACCAAATTTCATTTAAATCTGTTCAACAGTTTTTGCATAGATTAGGAACAAATGTCCATCCATTCATTCAGCATCATTACCAACTTGTATTTATTATATTAATAGGATAATAAATGCAAAATAAAGTGTTAATCTCTACTAATATTATTTACGTAAAAGTGAGTTTGTTTGTTACTCCTTAGCGCCTTAACGTTTTGACAAATCTCTATAGAATTTAATTTACACCTACTGTGTGGTTTGGAAAAGATATGGGCATTTTAATCCGGTCAGTGATTATATCCCATTCACGTGAAAAAAATCGCGAATAAAAATTACTTATATATATACATAGATCCACCGACAAGAGGGCAGCTCTTAAATAGAGTACATAGATACATATATTACTATTTATTCTTTATTGTACTTGAACAAAAGATACAGCGAATAGTTTAAGAACTTGTTATCAAGTGTGGGCTTATCTCTAAAAGAGATCTCTTCCAGCCAACCCAATGCAGTTAGAGAGAAAATAATTAGTAGATAATATCAAATTTATGTTATAAATAAATAAATAATGGCCTCACGATTCCATTGGATTTGAAGAGCAGAAGGGAACGGAGAAATTATTAGTAATGAGGATTAATAGCACATTGCTAGCAATACACCCTGTTGATTCGATTTCGCGGTTCTCTCTGGAAACCATCGTGGTCAGTTCAAAGAATTTACATATCTTCAGGGCGGACTTAATTTTCTATCATTCAGTCTTTCTCGCGATGAACTAACTGACCTGCATTTTTATTCTCACCTATCATCCCTGACTGGTGTCCCGCCAACATATGGCGTTACCGTAGGCGGGGTTACCATTCCATTATTACACGTTGAAAAAGAAACTATCGGATTAAGCTTTGAAAGTTAAGTTTTTCAACCTATTAATATATTTAAGACCAGCTTTTTGTCCGCTACTTCATACACGTAATTTTCAGAAGTAGAAAAGGCACTGAAATAAATATCTTCTCGATTATCGTTCTAAATAACTTCTCGAGATAAAATATACACTAAATCTTAAGACCTTCAGGAATACAACTGCAAAAAATGCACCCAATTTGGCGCAATAGCTTTTGTATTATGTTAGACACATATTTACAGATAGATTGACAAATTTTCTGTAAAATATTGTTTTAACTTCTATTGCTCTTATTAAGAACCCTCGCATAGTTTTATCGTAAATATCTCTCATGTGCAGACATTGTCTAGTCGTAATTTTATTATATCAGTAATTTACTGCATTTTACCTACTCTTCAGTTATTGTTAAAAACAGATGGTGTTTTGGATTTTTTTTTCCTTAAAATTAATATATTAGACGCATTGTATTTTTAATGACGCATTTCCATTCTTTTTACAAGAGACAGTGTTAACACTGGCAGGTAGGTCATTTTGAAATAGACACTTTTTCACCACACACAATCTCTGACGGATGTGGTAGAAAATATTTTGTCCTCAATTTTTTAATATGATAACACTGGTATTTGTTTTATTGTTATCTCTTAACACGGCTAGTTGCAAGGAATGCTCATTATTTGAGAGAAACATAGCTGAAATTCCCGATAAAGTAATCAAGATTTTCGATGATGTCTTTGGGGACTTAATACAAAACATTATCCGCCATAATGGAACTGTAATTGAGACTCTATACGAGGAATACAAAAAAGCAGCGAACTCCGATGACAAAAATCTGAATATAACGCAATTACTAACAAAATATGGTTATCCTGTACAACAACACGAGGTAAAGACAAGTGATGGATATTTATTGACTATGTTCCGGATACCTAATGATGGGCCTCCAGTATTATTAATGCATGGTACTCTTAGCAGTTCTGATGATTTTTTAACCATCGGCTCCAATAGTGGACTCGGATACCTGCTAGCTAATGCGGGCTACGACGTTTGGTTGGGTAACGCTCGAGGCAACAAACATTCCCGACGTCATACCACTTTATCGCCATCCTGCAAGGAATTCTGGGAATTTAGTTGGGATGAGATCGGCCGCTACGATTTGCCAGCAATGATTGATTATATTTTACTTAAAACCAAAGAAGAAAAGTTAATATACATTGGCCATTCACAGGGGTCGACGACATTTTTCGTTCTTTGCTCAGAGTTGCCCGAATATAATAAAAAAATACGCGTCATGATAGCTCTTTCTGCTGTGGCCTTTATTTTTGGTATTCCAGTATTAAATTTATTATCTCCAATTAATGCACTCGAAACTTTAGTTGTTGATGCAATTGGTGCATACGAACTTATGCCAAGAAATAAATTTCTACAACGTTTAACAGACTCGTTCTGCGGTACTCCTGCCACTGCCACTTTGGTGTGCGGGAATATCTTATTACTTCTCAGTGGTGCTGATTATTCTCAAATAAATGCTATTGCATTGCCGGTTATTTTCGGTCACTATCCTGCAGGCTCTTCTACAAGACAGGCGTTACATTATGGACAATTGTCGTTTTCGGGAAAATTTGCACAATACGATCATGGTCCCATTAAAAATCTTATGTTATACGGTTCATTAGCACCACCTGAATATCCCTTAGAGAAAATCACGTCGCCTGTGGTTATATATCATTCTCTTCTCGACCGAGTGACACCAATAACTAGTGTCGAAAAAATTAAGAAGAAACTGGGAAACGTAAGTAAAGTCATCAAAGTACCATATCTTCAATTTTCTCATGCCGACTTCTTGTTTGCTCGGGACGTTAAGAAACTTTTATATGATAGTGTTTTGGATGTTATACCAGAATATATTGATGATCTATATTAATTTAAATATATAGTAAAATAGATAATATATTAATTTTAAAATGTTAAAATTAAAAGTTTTAAAAAATTATCTTTGTGACTGATTTTCGTTTTTAACTGATTCTATTTTTTATGTACGTGAAGAAAGAAGTGTCTTTGTAAATAATGGAATAATCTTTGACGAATGATTTTTATACAGAAATGATGCCCAAAATATATTAAAGTTAATTACAATTAAAAATTCTTTACCTAATTGCTTTGAAGAGTTTTTAAATTATGAAATAAATTCAATACTGTTATTTTTATGACACACAGCCATATAAGAGAGTAATTTATATCATACGAAATGATTTATGATCCTACACGGTTATCCATAGGGATAAACTTCAAGTTATTCCGCAAGCGATGCAGAGGATTCTGCTCGGAGTTTCTTTGCGTGATAGAATCCGAAATGAAGATAATGATCCACTAGATGGAGAGATTTTATCAGAGGGAGACTTCGTACAAAAGTCGATTGCTTGGGTGCCTCTGTCCCATTCGTGTTTGAACCGTAATGCAGTTGTGTTTACATGGCTGTGTTTCGATTTGAAGGGTGGGATATGGCGTAAATTTATAGGGTACAGAGAAATAACACCTGAGTACTCAGGAATGGCAACGCATGGGGAGTATTACGGGCGAAACGGTATACTCTGTTATGTCCATGGTACTGCTCATGTCTACAGGCGAGGGTTACCACTTTCCATCAGGTGGGCCGTCAGCTTGTTTGCCATTCTAAGTTGTATAAAAAAAACGTTATCGGAATACTCATTTATAATATTGGCAAGAGCAGGATATCTTTTAATTTAATTAATCTATTTTTAGTTCAGTAACATTAATATTATACATTTAATTGCTAATGGGGCATTCCAATATACATATCAATGAATAATGGACCGTGCGCCACTGCAGTGATAAGACTGGCGCGTACCTAATTGTGAGATCAATTAAAATGTCATTTATACACAAACACACGTGAGAATTTTATAAGACAGCTTTATTTGATAAATAGATAGATAGATACTCTTTATTGTTTCCTACAAAAGATTACAATAGTAAACATATTATAGATATAAACAATTACAAGAAATAATCACAATGAGAAAACAATGGGCGACCTTATCGCTAAGAGCGATCTCTTCCAGGCAACCTTTGGATGGAGAGGTGCAAACACAACTGCTCCACGGTAGAAATACGAATTGGATAGAGGTGCCCAAGCAAACGACTTTTGTACAAAGTCTCCCTCTGGTGTTTTTAAGTGTTTTAAGCCTATGTCCTTTTCCATCCCATACAGTATGTGTATATCAAATTTCATAGTGATTAGTTAAGCCGTTAAGGCATTATAAGGTAGCAGACCGTACAGTCTTATACTTATGTTTTAAATTTCAAACAAATCTATTCGTCAATTGTAGCAGAATCGAGTTCAATGACTAATTTGAATTTGATAATTAGATTTTTTATTTTTTTTTTATACCACTGAGATGGCAAACATCTCTGAAGCTGTATATTTTAATAGTAGATAGTCTTAGATTTACAATTGTATGGACTTTTAGTAACATACTTATTTCACTATGAAATAGTAGAAACTGTAACAAAATTGTATCCATAAAGTATCAAATATCGTATGAATGCCTATTTTTGATGAACGTTAATTGTGTTACGGAATTCATACGATTAAGATTGACGTTTTATAATGTTTTTTTTTTTTTTATTTTTTTATTTGGAACAGCAAACATTAATTTTGCCCGAAGCAACAATATTACTTTTATCCAAATCAACATTATTACTTTTATCCGAAGCAGCAAGTATTACTTTTGAGCGGAACAGTAAATATAAATTTTTGCCCGGAGCAGCAACGATTAATTTTATTCGGCGCAGCAATAATTGCTTTTACCTGGAGCAGCAATAATTTTGCCCGGAGCGGTAAATATAAATTTTGCCCGGAGCAAAAATAATTAACAATTACTTATGCCCAAACAGTAAATATTAATTTTGTCCGAATCAGCATGTATTACTTTTTGGCCGAAGCAGCAAGTATTACTTTTCACCGGAACAGTAAATATTAATTTTACCCGAAGCAGCATGTATTGTTCTTATTTTAAACAGCAAATATTAGTTTTAATAATAAAAATATTGCCCGGAACAGCAAAAAATATTTTTAGCCAAAGCAGCAAATTGATTAGATCGGTTACTAATAAAGTTACTTAATACTGATCAAAGTTCAACAACCCAAATTGTATGCAAACGAACTCGAATCAAATACCTCTAAATTTTGAATATTTGATATCATTTTCCTTAAGGAAAATTGATAAGAATTATTTGAAGTCCCCACTTTACGGCGTATTGGATTAAATGTATTGGCGATACAGCCAAGATATACCTAACTATTTATAAATAATATATTATTTAAATTTATATATATACATATATATATAATATGGTGTACTACTATCATAAATGTGACAGTATGTGTATATTTTCTTAATAGATGGAATTTTGTTTCCCTTTCACGCAAATCTAATTAATACAGATAGGGTACTAATGAGTGATGATAGGTGAAGATGAAGAGAATTCAGTTTATTTAGAACACAAGGGACAAACGAGCATACGGCTTACCTGATGGTAAATGACTACCGCCGCCCATGATCTCCCGCAACACTAGAGGCATTGCAGGTGCGCTGCCGACCTGTGCTAAATTAACTTTTTGTGACGAATTGATCTAAAATTATTCAATCAACATATCCCACCCTCCAAACAAAAACACAACTATGCAAACACAACTGCTTCACGGTAAAAACACGAATGGCATCTGAAAGAGGAGTCAAGAGCATTCGAAACTGGCGTACTTGCATGAAACGAGTTATGGGAGAGCGGGAAGCAAAAGATGTACTCGTATATAAAAGGTCTTAGGCACTCAGTTCTCTCTGCCTACACCGCAAGGGAGTTAGCGTGAAGATAGCTAATTTTAGAAAAGTGTATCTAATAATAAAAATAATTGAATGCATACAAGTTTTTGTGTTCAATATTGAATAATAAAAATACAATACAATTTTCTTCGATGCCTAAAGCTACTTGGATGTTATCTATTTTTAAGTGACTTATAAGGGATTCCGGTTTCGTCGCTGTACGCGGAATCGATTCCGCGTTCTAAATTCAAACATTTTCAATATAATGTCAACGTGTTCACGAAACCCACCAGTGAGATTCTTCACAAGAAGTCGCTGTTTTTTTTTGTGGTCCAAATTGTACTTGTCAATAACATTAATGGATCTGTAGGATAGACCGTTGTACCACAAGAATAAAGACCGAGTAGAAGTGGCACTCTCGCTAATTCCATAGGTAGGGAAACATGGTTCAATCAATTCGGGATCCTCATACCCTCTGGTGGATGCTTGATGGGGACCTTGGGGAATTTTTCTTTACCCAGGCTTTAACTCCGAGGTAACTACCCCTGGGTCACTGAATCTCAGCACACTCCAGTTCTTTTAATACGGCGTGGTTTTTTTATGCAACTTAGAATAACAAACAAGCTGACGGCCCACCTGATGGAAAGTGGTAACCGTCGCATATAGACATGAGTAGTACCATGGATGTAACAGAGTATACCTGTTTCGCCATTCCTGAGGACTCAGGTGTTATTCCTCTGTACCCTGTAAATTCACTGCCATATGCCACCCTTCAAACCGAAACACGGCAATGTAAACACAACTGTTTCACGGTAGAAACACGAATGTGACAGAAGTGGCCAAGCAAACGACTTTTGTACAGTCTCTCTAGTTTGGTCTTCAGCCAATATGGCTGTTAGTTTTTAAACAAAACTGGACACGACATACTAGGTGGCGCTAGAATCGAGACTTGTAGTTTTTGTTAATTATTTTGTAATTAAAGGTAATTGGAAGCAAACTTTTTCAAATTGGCGAGTGTTTTTATACATTTTCTATTGATATAGTAATAATTTATTATTTTTCTATTTATTCTCTTTGTATTTATTAACATTGTAATAAAACACATGCTTACATTTCGATTGTGTGAGTTACAATTCGTTCAGGAAAAGATCACGTATTACCTATTACTTCACATTCATACATAATAATAAAAACCAGTCGATTCTCGAAACTCCTCTGACCTTTGCTATATGATAATGGATTGCTTTCTGTAATTTATGTTTGACAAAGTAATTTATTAAATAAATATAAATTGTGACAACCCTATTTGAGTGAGGGGTGAAGTGGGGTACAAATTGTCGGTACCGGCGCACGCAGAAAGGAAAGTAGGCGAGTGTCACTTCTACCCAGATTATATTTTAGGGTTGTGATATAAGAATAAGAACTATATTTATAGTTATGCCTAGAAATGATATATGACTCTCGAAATGTCGAAATACAAACAACAATGAAATAAATATTATCTACTATTCTCATCTTATATATATATATATATATATATATATATATATATATATATATATATATATATATATATATATATATATATATATATATATCTTCGTCATCATATCAGCCTTTAACTGCACTTACTTATTTCATTTCTATAGCCGACGGTTACTTTCCATCAGGTGGGCCGTCAGCTTGTTTGACATTCTAAGATGTATAAAAAAAACTGCTAAACACGGGAGGTGTTGAGGAATTTTGTCAGTAGCTCTCATGCTTGGCAGGCAGATTGGCAACTGCAGTTAGCTTTTGGTGATGTTTTAAAAATGACGCTGATCCCTTGATCATAAGTTCTCTAGTCGCCTCTTACGATACTTACGGAAAATGAAGGAGTGGCACATTCTATGCCGGGAACATATGGCGACGACAAGATTTCATATATTCAGTCATATCATGGACTAATTAAAACAATCATTTACTCATCCGAATATTGTAATGATTCGTCATTTTCTTATCAACTATTAGACTTTTTATTGGTCAATCGATAAATGATTGCTGTTTCAATTAATTGTGTAATGCTTAATAATGTATGTTTATTAACATTTAGCATAAAGATAAATTAATAAACTAATTAATTAAGATATTTAAACAAATTGGATTTTAAATAAATCTACGGCACAACTGGTGGTGATGGAACGTGGTAACCGTCAACTATAAACACAAGTAGCACCATCATAATATTAGCTTTAACTGTCCACTGCTGAACGTAAGAATCTTCCTTAGGGTTTTGCTAGTAGCCATGCTTGACAAGTGATTTGCGACTGCAATTTGGCTTTTGATGTTTCAAGAGGGACGCTGCTATATTATGTACATTATATGAAAAAAATATTGTATAAATTGTATTCTAAGTTGTTTTTTTTTTCAAATTATGTAATCACGTATTGCTGTTGTAATACCTGATACACAGTCGTAAACTCTTAGGTTTTTCCCTGAGCCCCTAACTTCCAAATGATCTTATAAAAGCAGGAAGATTTTCAGTGTTGATTCAGTGCGCGTACGCAGATCTATTGGCATCGTGCGGCGCGTGACTATTAATAATAATAAATAAACAAATAGTCTCCTCTCACAGACAGTGTTTAAGGATATATTTACCAAAACAAAATGTATTGTTAAATAAATAATAATTTAATATAAATTAAAATTTAATGTTAAATAATTTTAATTAAAAATATACTTATAATTAAAAGTGTTTTTTTTTATTATTTTTAACATTGTTAATTAATTTTGAAAATGGTGAATAAAGTGTATAATGTAAGTTTGAACAAAGAGATGAAAGGGAGCAAACACAATCAAGTGCTGATGTCAATAGTGGGTAAGTACAAGTGTAGTTTATTTATTTTTTAATCTCTCAATTAATTTTATTATAATTTTGTATTTACAGACTAATTTAGTGAATAAAATGTAGTGACCAGTGATTATTGTTAGTATTTAATTCCTTTTTTTTTTATTTATTCTTTTTAGTATAATATACATTAATAATATATAAGCAGAGATATAATTCAACTGGATATACAAATTTATTTATTTTTTATGTAATATCTACATCAATATATATATTTGATAATGAAACGGTGCCCCGTGTAGGTGCAAACTGAAAATCAGCGCTGAACGAACATCAGTCCAGCAAAAGCTGAGTTTGTACCTATTGCCAGGCGCATACGATTGATGGACAATATATTGATTAATTAATATATGTACATTATAATTTGTGAAGAATGGCAATAAATTTTATTATTATTATTATTATTAAATTAAATACACATTAATTAAATTTAATTTAATAAAAATTTCAAGATTTATTTTATTTAATAATGTTTCTATAACATACATTTATTCATTTATATTAATTAGAGCTATATTATAATTTTTATTGTTTTTTTTTTTATTACTAAACAATATATGTCCGCACTGTTCATCCCAGAAGTTAACTGGTAGATAACTGCTGCTAGCATTAAGTCCACCTATTATACCAAATTTTTATTTGATTAATAAAATTATTTAAATAAATAAAATATATAAATATATTATATATATATATATATATATATATATATATATATATATATATATATATATATATATATATATATATATATATATAATACATATTTGCTTTATTCATATATATAGTATTTAACTAATATTATCAATACATATGTATTTATTCATTACTTAAACATACTTGAATGGCTAAATTAATTTTAATAAAATTACAAACCACAAATAGTTCATATCCTAGGTTAACGATTACATAAATGACAAATGTAAATAGCGTTGGTCGATCATGCACAGGCTTTTAACAACCACATAATTTTAGATGTAAGTACATTTAAATAAATACATATAATGTTAAAAGAGATTTAAAAGAATAACTATTGAGTTTCTTGTGGGCTCTTGTCAACAGATCAGATTTTCCGAACTCTACATAAAAAAATGACCATTAAAAATGCTTGTAATTAAGACTATTTGAATAATGATTAATTGAATTTGAAATTGGAAAAAAAAGTTATAGGATTTTATGTACTAATTCAAGCGGAAAAAGCCGCTAGATTCATCTTGTTACATAGTTTCTTTAGTACATTACATCATAAATGCATAGATACGGTATTTTTTTGTACACTATATTATTTTCAAGTGACTTCAAAAAGAAGCAAGTTCTCAATTCGGTAATATATTTTTTATTTGTTACCTTATACCACCGTTAGTTCTAAGGCCTAACTGACCTGCCATCATCCTCACCTATCATGGCACACTGCTACCTGGCTGGCATAGCCGTGCGTTTTTCAAAGCGCTTTCTTCCACGCACAGTCACTCTTTGGAATCAACATCCAGCCGTTAGTATTTCCGAACCGATACATCATCACATTCAAGAAAAGAGCATATTCCTTTTTCAAAGACCAGCAGCACATCTGCAATGCCTCTGGTTTTGCAGGTGATCATGGGCAGCGGTAGTCACTTACCATCAGGTGAGCCGCATGCTCGTTTGCCCCCTATTTTATATAAAAACAAAAAAAAAAAGAGAAAACGTTTCGCCTCGTTACTAATTACATTTAGACAGAAATTTCTGTAATATTAACAACAAAACTTGAACTTTTTCGATAAATTTTTAAATAGCCTATGCTATTCCTAATCTATATATAATAGATTTTCTGTGATATGACAAACAAAATGACAGTTCACAAATTAAACCCCACGAAATTAGATCGTAGTTAATGAATGCAAAGCCCACGATATCCCCTATTAATCATAAATCAACCACAAACTTACCATCAGGTGAGCCCCATGCTCGTTTGCCCCCTGTGTTATAAAAAAAATATACCGACAATACTACCAGACTATTGCGTGCTCACCCGAAAAAAATACCTTATCCATTACTCTACTGCATATATGATCTTCGTACATCGACGTTTTACACGTGTAAAGTGCCAAGAAAAGTTCCTAATTCGTCGTTCAGATATCACGTTCTCAGTTGTCTATTGTCTAAATTGGGCTTGCCATTTCTGTGGGCTGCATCAATGCCAACAATTTGTTGCTAACTATAGCTAATATAACATAGGTATATAATACAATATCTCTTAGTATGCATCTCATATTTGTATAATTCGTGCCTTTTTCATACGTCTTGGAATGACTAAATAAATGGACGTCACAATGGAACAAACTCCTTTCTCAGATACAAGAGAAACGTTCTACTACCTCTTTCAGGGGGGAAAAGGGATTGTTAGTAATGGAGACTGAGAATCCCATTGCTAGCAATAGTACCCAACCAGGTCGACCTCCTCGCAGTTCTCCCTGGAAACTATCATGGTTAATTCCTGATGAATTCATCATGATGGGCTAACTGGCCGGTTTTCATTCTCATCTATCACCCTTCACTGGTGCTCCGCCAGCGTATCCCGTTAGCGCAGGCGGGGTTACCATACCATTTTCACCCATCAAAAAAAAAAACTACCTCTTTCAAGAAACAGTTGATATTGCATTTTCTTGCACTTAAGTCTTAAAATCTTAACTTTTCATTTTTCTAATTGAACTGTCAAATCTTGAAGTCATTAAACTAAATTTATAATTGAATGAATGCATGGTTTATTTTCTCTTCACAAAAGATAGTATATGGTGACAACTTAAGGTACAATTTGATATGAAGACCAATTTTTTGAGAGACTGGTGCCTGCGGTAAGTTTTGAAGAACCTGTGTCACAAGTCACCAGTGCCCCATCACCATGGACTACACAAATACAAGGCAACCAATTAGTGTTATAATACACAGATAACAATAATGAGATAAAAAGTGCAAGAGTAAAATTAACATTAAAACTTATTTCTAATAATTATTACTTATATATAACTTAGGCAAAGTTAATTACAAAATACAGACTATGTGTGCGTGTGCGTGTGCGTGTGCGTGTGCGTGTGCGTGTGCGTGTGCGTGTGTGTGTGATTAAGGTTAAGGTAGTTTAATATTAATTTATTTTAACATTCATTATATAAGTAAGGTAGGTTTTGTTTCTGATATTCAACGCACGTAAATGTAAGGTGTATATAATAGATAGATTATATTTTTACATGTTTGTATATAATATATATATAATTTTGTATATAATTAATTTATATTAATAATTAATTAACTATATCCAAATGTCAAAATGTAAATAAATCTTCCATTATAATATAAAAAAAGTAAGGTAATTATTTTATTTATTTAAAGTATAACTATTTATGTAATATTTTAATATATATTAATATTTCATTTAACTGTTTATTTGTATATTTGTTTGTGTATAATAAACACATACGTGCAGTTTATCTACCCTCTAATGACATGCTTTCCAACTGTGACTAGAAGAGCCCCCTGTCAGAAATAAGTCCACCCCTGCTCACAATATTTATAAATACATTAACAATGTAATTTACAAGTGCAATAAAGAATATATATCCCTGAATATATGAATGAAGTACCGCGTTCGTGATTCACTGTTCATCCCAAAGGTTAACTGGTAGAGAATGCTACTAGCATTAAGCCCGCCTTTTGTACCATATTTTATTATTTATTTACTTATATAGACTGCTTTGATGTAGACACGCGGGAGCGTTATCCAGCTTAGTTCAAAGAAAAAGGAACTGGCGACGCAGCAGCCGAGTGTAATGTAGAAATTTTATCAAAATCGATTTAGTAATTTAGTTTCTAGATTGTGACAAAAACAATTGGTTTTGTCACAATCTAGAATTTTCAAATCAACACAGATTTTTTTTTTATTATTTTATCATAAAATACAACTTATGTCGCTGTATAATGTAGTTTTCTATATGTGGAGGTATTTTAATTTTTTTTTTTTTAATTTACAACAACAAATAAATAGTACAAATAAAAATAAAATTTACATAGGATCAAATTGATTAATATAGTTTTTCTTTTGCAGTTTGCATGCCAGTTCTGGCATACGGCACGGCCATGGGGTGGATATCCCCTAACAAAGCTCTCCTCATGGGTGACTCCAGTCCATCGACCTCGCCGCTGTCAGAAGAGGACGTGTCATGGATGGCCTCGATCATGTTCATATTCGCCCCCATAGCTGTGTTTATTTATGGGGTCGCAGCTGACAAGTTTGGAAGGAAACATGCACTACTGTGCGCTTCTATACCTGTTGCTGTAAGTATTACCACAATTATTGTGGAATTTTCAAACGAAAAAGATTATAAATTCGTGTAATTTGATGTTATGCTACCATTTTGCGACATACACACTAGCGATGTACTTGAAAATGACCCGATTTCATTAACACTATAGTGAAATTAGGTAACTTGAGTCATTACGACGAATTCAATCGAAATTAATCAAATGGTTGTGAAAATAAGAATATATAAGTATTTGTTGTGTGTGTGGATATGTTTGTCTCGACGTGCGTGAGCCACGTGAATGATGTGATGTGCGTTCGTGCATGTGTGTGTGCGTGTGCGTGTATATATACATAAAATATATATATATATATATATATATATTACATGGTTAATAAAATTTTCATTTTTACAACCATTTGGTTAATTTCGACTGAACTCGTAACATAAACAAACATATATATATATATATATATATATATATATATATATATATATATATATATATATATACATATATATATATATATATATATATAGTATGTGTTTGTTTATTTAGATCATTAAATATTTCGATAATTGTATGTGTTTGGACATCAGTTATTTACACTTAAACAGTTAAATTAATTAGTATGAAATTTAATATACAAATAGACCACACCTGTGTGTGTGTCATTATATTTTATATATTAACTAGCTGTACTCCGTGGTTTTACCCGCATAAAGGAGTAAGTACATAAAGTATCCTAGTATATGCAAAATTAGGATATAACCTAAATTTAAATACACAATCGGGATTTAACGCGATGTAAAAACCTTTACAGGTAAATAATGCCTACTTACCTGCTACTTTGTTGCCAACATTTCGACGTGGATTGTACCACGTCGTGGTTACGATCGCGTAGTTTTTTACGTGAAACACACGTAGTAACAAACATGCGTCCATTCCGCCTCACAAATTCTCACATTTATATTAATAATATAAAGAGCCCGAGTTTACTAACCGGTCGTTAGGTTTCTAAGCCGAAAGGGTGGGGGCGGGATTGTTAATAATGGAAACTGAGGGCCCCATTGCTAGCAATACACCCAAACAGGTCTACCTCCACGTGGTCGCCCCTGGAAACCATCGTGCTGAATTCCAAGTGTATTCAACACGATGGGCTATCATCATCATCCCTCACTGGTGCCCCGCCAGTGTATACTCATAGCACAGGCGGGGTTACTAATCCATCATCACCCATTAAAAAAAAAAGCTGAACGGTTAAAATCGTACGTATATTAGTTAGTGCTATTATATGAAATTGAGGCCTTAAGGTCTCTGATTTAGTGACCTAATCGAAGAACCTGACGCGAAATTCCGATGTGTTCGACCAGGCTAATAAATAGATAGATAGATAGATACTCTTTATTGTTTCCTCCAAAAGATCACATTAGAAAATTTAATAGTGTCCAAACATTACACGAGCGAAGTCGCAGGTAAAATCTATATATATATATATATATATATATATATATATATATATATATATATATATATATATATATATATATATATATATATATATATATCATAGTGAATAAAGATTATTTTCTCTGACTTTTGTTCACAGCTCGGATGGGCGGTGAAGTTATTGTGCGCACATCCTATAGCTCTTATTGGCGCGAGGGCATTAATTGGTTTTGGCTCTGGAGGGGCATTCGTTGTATGCCCTCTGTACGTTAAGGAGATAAGTGAAGACAGCATCCGTGGCATGACGGGCACTTTTATCATATTTTCTCAAGTAAGTACCTAGTTTTTTCAACCGTAAAGCAGTTGTGTTTGCATGGCTGTGTTTCAGTGGGAAGGGTGGGATATGGCGTGAATTTACAGGGTACAGTAGAATAACATCTGAGTCCTCAGGAATGGCAACGCATGGGGGGTATCATGAACGTAACAGTATACTCTGTTATCTCTACGTTACTGCTGTCTACAGGCTATACTGTCATGTCTATAGGCGACGGTTACTACTTTCCATCAGGTGGGCCGTCAGCTTGTTTGCCATTCTAAGTTGCATAAAAAAAAACAGATTTTCAACGAAAGTGTCGTTGGTTTTGGTACTATATGGCTGATTGAAATCGAAAGACGCGTTTCGACTAGGTTTTGTATACTGCAAGAAGATATTTCTAAAATTTTAATTTCTCAAAAATTTAAAAAAGAAAAAGATCAGACTCATATTCGTATTCGAAAAACGAAATGGAATATTGAAAAAAAAAAACAAAAAAGAACCCTAAAGATATGGCTTTGAACTATATTTAAAAATGTATTGGAGGTGCGTATTACTTATGGATTATTCAGAAATTGCACCTTTGTGGGTCGGAATTTACGCGCGGAGAGCTCGTGAGCGTGGTAGTGAGGGCGAATAAAATGTTTTGAAGCACGATTATGCCTTGGAACGAAGTGATACTTTGTAAATAAATAAATAGATAGATACTCTTTATTGTTTTCTACAAAAGATTACAATAGTAAACTTATTATTCGTTTGTATTTAAATTAATAGATACAGTTATTTAATTTTTTTTAAATTTATTTACAATAATAAAGTACAAATAATACCGTATTAAAATAAATAATACTTTTCAATAGGTATCACTTATTAATGGTTATTATTACTAATTAGTAAAAATTTCTAATTATTTTACTATTCTACCTACTTTGTAATTTTTTCCACAAATAAATAAAATTAATATGTTAAAAAAATGTAATTCACTTGATTTGGCAAATTCATTTCTAATAAGTCCTAAGGTCGTAACAGATATAAGATCTCTGATTATTTTTTATATTACGGTTTAATTTCCCTAGAATCTCCTAGCAATAAAATAAATAAATAAAATACATGTTCCTAAAATATCAAATCATATTTCACAATCCTAGTCCTTTCTATACAACTTCTAAAGAGCGATATACACAGTTCTCGTATATATATTTTTTATGTTGTAAGTATATACAGAATGAAAAAATGTAAGTAGGTAGTTGTAATAGGTATTTATATATGTTACGCCTGCGCGGATTAGACCTCTGTACCTATTATATTATCTGTAACGATATTTTCCAATTCTAAACTAAATATTACAAAAAATAGTGTTAAAAATCTTATCACTCTCTCTCGCAATCTTTAGGATTTTAATCTATGTTAATCTCTTACTAATTTAATCGTGACTATAATGAGTTTTATAACTAAGTAGTTATAGAATAAAATTATTAATTATTTTTTTCCAAATATATATATGTATATAAAGCAAAATAAAAACACGAAGACATACAAACACATGTCGCAAAACGTGCTTGGACAAAATGGCAGTCAGGGATTTATGTCTGATATGAAAAATTATAGTATCTTACTTCTGGTAATAATAATAATAATCAATTTTCAAAAGTTGGCAGTCGCACACTACTACTAATGATAGCGGAATTAAACAAAATAATTCTAAACAAATAACCATGTGGTTTTTACTTGTCACAATTATCTTTTAATACCAATATTTATAAATATGTTGTAGCATGTATTTTAAATATTGTTGGTCCATATACCATATATTGCCACATAATTGGTGTCAACTATGGAAAACTGTAGTATCTTACTTCTGGTATTAATAATAAACTTTTGAAGATTGATTACATCTTCAAAAGTTGGCAGTCGCACACATACTAATGATAGCGGAATTAAACAAAATAATTGTAACCAAATAACCATGTGCTTTATTACTTATGTCTCAATTAAATTTTAATACCAATATTTATATATATGTTATAGCATGTGTTTTAAATATTGTTGGCCCATATATTATATGTGGCCACAGAAATAACTAAAATAAGATTTTATTTAAAAAAAAATAACTATTTCAATTGAGGCAAAATCAGTTATTTTGATTTTAAAACCGATTTTGATAAAATTTCTTATGTACCAAAGTATATCCTTTCAAATACAAAAAAAAATCTTAGATAACAAACGTACAAAAAAATACAACCGAAGTGAGAATCTTCTCTTTTTTTTTAATTCGGTTGAAAATTATACTTTCTTTGCTAAGGGGTTCAAAAAGTATACTCAAAGTTTCAACATGTATTAGTCCAAATAGGGAAATGTAAAACGGTTAAATTATACGTTTTACAACTGGTTTTTATTTTTATTTTAATGGTGCGCAGTTTTTTTTTTACTAATAATAGAATGATTCCATAAAGAATAGTCAACAATAAAATGAAGGACATTATTTTAAAATGGCCGCAGCCACAAGATGGCGGATTTCATTATAAAAGTTTCCTTTTAACAGGCAGAAATGTTTTAAACAAATTTGTTTTGATTGAAATCGTATTGCAGAACAAAATCTGAAATTATTACATTGACACCTTCTTTCAAATCAAAACTGCTATATTGTTTAGATTAAATTGAGTTTTGAGATTATCAATTGTTTGTAAGACTTTATTATTATTTTCAGACAATGGGCAACCTATTTGTCTTTATACTGGGCGATTTGTTACCGTTCAACGCAGTGCTGTGGATCCTGCTGGCTATACCGCTGTTACATTTCTGTATACTGCTTCGGCTTCCCGAAACCCCCTCATATTTGATCAAATGTGGAAAAAATGAGGTTAGTGAACATATATATCTATATAAATATTAAATAATTAAAGATTTTGTCTTGCAAAAAAAAACTACTTCAATTGTGACGAAATCAGTTATTTTAATTAAAAACTAAATTACTGAACCGTTTTTGATAATTTTGGACCGATTGGTCCTATTATACTTGTACATTTTTAAATTTATTCCTGAAAGGATAAAAAAAAATATTTTCCAAATCGGTTTAGAACTGACGGAGTTATGAGGTACCAAACATAAAAAAATGCAATCGAACCAAAACAATGCTGCCCATCCCTGGACCATTAAGTTCCCTTTCCAGTCCGAGTGTTTCCAAGTTCCGTTCTCAAAAAAGTTTGTTCCATTAAAAAAGTTACCGTTAATAACAGTTCCCCCCCCCCCCCTTTTTATATAAAATTAATTTATGTAACACAATTATATTACTAGGTTATATTACACCTAGACAGTGGGGAAAGAAATTATTAACCAATGACAGAGCAAGTATATTGCTAGCAATGGGGACCAATGCCCCATTGCTAGCAATATACTTGCTCTGTCAAATTCATCTCCATAGGGTCGTTCCTGGAGCCTATTGTTTTTAATACGCCATTGTCCTCTCTACCTCTTCACATATCATCCCTCTATGGTATTACGGCAGTGCAAATGAACAGCGTAACCAGAGTTCACATTTCATACAAAAAAAAACTTATATTTTATTGTTAAGATTCATAAATTCACATCACTCGAAAGCCCTGATTAAGAGATTTTCAGAAAATTACTCTAAGTAATAAACTTTGTTAGGGTAAAAATAATATGTTTGTTAACAAGGGCTCTCTCTGGACACTGCAAGCCAAACAAGTGCATGGCCCAACTAGGCTTATACCCAAAAAGTGTTTGCAGATTTTGTCACAATGAAGAAGTAACACCGCAGCACATAATTTGTGGCTGTAGCCCGCTTATACATAAACAATATATCTCCTTTGAAATATGTACTTTATATTCCGAGCAGAGAAAATAACATCGCTACAAAGAACATCTTAAAATTCCTATCACTGCTAGGAATTAGCAGCGAACTTTAAAAAAAGGCGAGCACAAAAGATCATAAAAAGGTCTTACAAGTTTTTCTATCTGAATAAACTCGTCTCTCAATAATGATAAAAGTTCTAATTTTATTTATTTATTTATTTCTTCAACTGGGTGAGTTTTTTTTTTATACAACTTAGAATGGCAAACAAGCTGACGGCCCACCTGATGGAAAGTGGTAACTGTCGTCGCCTATAGACATGAGCAGTACCATGGACATAACAGAGTATACTGTTTCGCCCATGATACCCCCCATGCGTTGCCATTCCTGAGGACTCAGGTGTTATTCCTCTGTACCCAGTAAATTCACGTCATATCCCACCCTTCAACCGAAACATAGCCATGCAAACACAGCTGCTTCACGGTTGAAACACGAATGGGACAGAGGTACCCAAGCAATCGACTTTTGTACAAAGTCTCCCTCTGGTAAATTATATCTATTGCCAATATCAATTTTGTACCATACTCATGAAAACAATTAGGAATTAGGTCAGAATTGGGATCGGTTTGCAATAGTTTTCATTGGCAAGTTACACTAATACGCATCTATCAGAACAGTATAGAACTATTATGTCGCTAGTGTTGCGATTGGAGAGGGCGAACCGTCACAATTGTAATGATCAATCTTTTGGAATTTATTTCAAGAGTAACCACACTTGTTTAACTTGTGGTAATAGGGGGGAAAGGGATTGTTAGTAATGGAGACTGAGAATCCCATTGCTAGCAATATACCAGGTCGAACTCCTCGCGGTTCCCCCTGGAAACTATCATGGTTAATTCCTGATGAATTCATCATGATGGGCTAACTGGCCTGTTTTCATTCTCATCGATCACCCTTCACTGGTGCTCCGCCAGCGTATCCCGTTAGCGCAGGCGGGGTTACCGTACCATTTTCACCCATCAAAAAAAAACTTGTAGTAATATGGACATATAAAAAATAATATCTAAGATAACTCTGCTAAACAAAGAATTGTATTGCTAGAAATTAAAATTGCAATACTCTCTTTAAAAGGAAACAGCAAAAGTCCTGGGTTGGTTGAGATCTCTGCCAGAAGACGACAAATCGATCCTGGAAGAGATGGACCGGCTTATTTCTGAGAAGACGAGCTGCGAACCGAAGTTCTCCCCGAGACTGCTTTGTAAGTATACTTCTGTTTACTACTAGTTTGTTTCTGTAGAACTCATAAACATTTATATCTTTAGCTTATCCTATTGTAAATGCCTGTTAATTTTTAAAAAACAATTTAACAATTGTTAAAGTTTCCTAGTTATAACTTTAAAAATTCTATGCCTGCGAATTGAAATGTTCATTATGCAATAATATTCTTAGTAAACTATCAATAAAAATATAGATTTTTAATGGAGATATGTTTTAGAAAATTCCTGAAGCAAAATATGAAGCAAGTGCAATTTTTTTATGCTAAATTTATATGCAACATATTCTTTAATTAACGTCTCAAGTCACTAGTAGAGAAATAAAATTGAATGACTTTTATTTGTTAGATACATTGTTGATATTTTGAAAGCTATCAAAAGTCAAAAAAAAAAGAAACCAAAGTCACCGACATACCCCGATAGATAAGCAAGCTGAAGTGCCAATAGACTGGTCGCATAGTTCGAAGAACTGATTGGGAAGAAAGGTTCTTGAGTTGCGACTCAAGTTTGTAGAATGATCTCCTACTAAATGGAATGGCGACCTCAAATACATTGCAGGTAGTCAATGGATGTAGATGGCTCAGGACCGTTCCTTATAGCAGTCTATGGAGGAGACCTATGTCCAGCAGTGGACGGATAATGGCCAAAGTAATTGAAAATTATAAAACTATTTATTAAAACTGATACAGGTTTTCCCAAGAGACTACAGCATATACAGGTTTCTTCAGGGTCGGCAACGCACGCGCAATACCTCTGGTATTGCAGGTGTTCATAGGCTACGGTAACCACTTACCATCAGGTGGGCCGTATGCTTGTTTGCCACCTCAGTGGTATAAAAACGAAAATGTAATTAAATACGACGCCACACTTCGATAAAGCTAAAGGTGTTCTTAATGAAAATCTAAATAAACGATTAATTAACCCGAGCATAAAACAGGTGCATTAATCGATTCTTGATTCGAGTGTTAGACTTCGTCCAGTGCCAATCAAGAATGGATTAATAGATTAAATGTTCTAATTTGTTATTAATTCTATTTACAAAACGTTTCTGTGATGACGTCAACAAAACCTGTTTGCCCATTTATTAAAACAGATCATAGTACTTCCAGAAAGAAGAAAATTCTCAATTTATCCACATTTACCTTCTGTAAAGGTATCGAAAATGGTGCCCAACTATGTTATAATAATTGGTCATACGGACAACGATCCAAATGAGAGGCTTAGCGCGGAAATGAGAGTTAGCAATGGAGTTTGACAGCTCCATTGCTAGCAATATTAGGTCGACCTCCACGTGGTTCCCCCTGGAAACCATCGTGAACAATTCTTGTTGAATTCGTCACGATGGGCCCGTCACTGGTGCCCCGCCGGTGTATACCGATAGTGCGGGTGGGGTTACCATTCCATTATCACTCATAAAAAAAATTACATTTTCAGTAATTGGTCTAACGTTGTAATATGTTTCAGTCTCATTAGAGACACATATACACTACTTACTGTATTCTACGGGTTCTCCCACGTAAATCGATACATAAGGTATCTTGTATACTATGTAAGGATATAACCTACCCAGTGTACTAATTTTCATTCGAATTTGTTAAGTAGTTTTTGCGTGAAAAAGTAACAAAGATCCCTCCATTAATTCATACAAACTTTCGCATTTATAATATTAATAACACCTCGGCCCTCTGTAATGGCAACGCATGAAAGGTACCATGGGCGCGCAGTATACTCTATTATGTCTATGGTACTGTACATGTCTATAGGCGACGGTTACCACTTTCCATCAGGTGGGCAGTCAGCTTGTTTGTCATTCTAAGTTGAATAAAAAGTAGGATTGTTTGATACTTTTTAGGGTATTTAATAATAACAAAGTATCTTCGCTAGACGCTTTGAAGCTCGATATGTATTTGGAGCAAATCAATATCGTCACAGTACAGACGCTGAACTTTATATTACCACTAGCTTGTACTCGCGACTTTGTCCGCGTAACAAAAATATGATGATAAAATCGGGATAAAAAGACTATATCTTTCTCCATCCCATGTAGGACGTGTATACTAAATTCAGAGCGATTGTTTAAGCTGTAAAGGCGCTATAAAGTTACAAACTCACTTTTACATTTACAATATTTGTAAAAATTCGAATAAATATAAAAAAATCATCATTGACCTGTTCTCAGTATCGAGAAATATTTTGGAAACACGCACATCTATGCGAATATTTCTCGATTGTTTGCAAACAGTCTCCCTAGTTTATTAAGGCCATTATTCGAAATCACATGCGAACAAAGTATATTGCTACTAGTAAACACCTAACGATATCTGGAATATTCTTTACTCTTTAATTAATACTAAAGTACACTTCACGATTCATACTGTACAAAGGTATGGTAAATTTTATCACAAAACATTGACACGTTCTGAAAATAACCTCAGAATGACCGCACACATAATATTGGCAATAACAACAATACGGAACATTTATACAAAACAAACAAGGTTAATAAGCAACTTGACCGAGTACACACACTTGACTCTTGACATTTGACACCAAACAATAAATGCAACCAAATTAAATGGATGGTGAATTGAGAATAACGATCGGTGAACAAGGACGTGGACAGTCTAACGATTCGACAGGTCACATTACCAATTGGCGCAATAAATCTGTTTGCGATTCCTTCCATTGTTTTCTCGTGTCACTGTTCGACACTTCTACTAGCACAATCTAGACTAATATTATAAAGAGGAAAAGTTTGATTTGTCTTATGTCTGTTTGTTTGTATTTTTTTTATAGGTGATAATGAAATAGTAACCCCATCCGTACTACCGGTATACACCAGCAGGGCACCAGTGACGGATGATAGATGAGGATGAAACAGATCAGTTAGCCCATCGTGACGAATTCAACGAGAATTGTTCACGATGGTTTCCAGGGGGAACCACGTGGAGATTGACCTGATAGGGCATATTGCTAGCAATGGAGCTGTCAAACTCCATTGCTAACGATCCCTTCCCCCTGTTTGTTTGTATTGGATAAACACAAAAACTACTCAAGAGATATTAAATCTTCCACCACCTATAGAAAGCTACATTATCAGCGAATAACATAAGTTAAATATTATTTAAAAGAATAACAGGAATAGACATCTTTTTTTTATACTACTTAGAATGGCAAACAAGCTAATAGCCCACCTGATGGAAAGTGGTAACCGTCGCCTATAAACACGAGCAGTACCAAGGATATAACAGAATATACTGTTTCGCCCAAGATACCTCCCATGCGTTGCCATTCCTGAGGACTCAAGCACTCGACTCGAGGACTGAAGCAGTCGTTTGCATGGTTGTGTTTCGGTTTGAATGGCGTGAATTTACTGGGTACAGAGGAATAACACCTGAGTCCTCAGGAATGGCAACGCCTGGGGGTATCATGAGCGAAAGAGTACACTCTGTTATGTCCATGGTACTGCTCATGTCTATAGGCGACGGTTACCACTTTCAATCAGGTGGGCCGTCAGCTTGTTTGCCATTCTAAGTTGTATAAAAAAAATCTAAGATATATGTATATTATTCCCATGGCACCCCATAGAGATACGAATAGGTCCATATATGTAAAAATGCTTCCTTGTTCTTAGCAGAAATGCTGTATTTTTTGTTTTAAAATTGACGCGTACGAAGTTGCCAGCAAAGGCTAGTATTTACAATGCGTAGTACACTCCTCGCAAAAATTAAGGGAACATAAAAATTATTGAAATTTTTGGGTGATTTTCAACAGGCTGTATTTCAGTGAAAAATAATCGTACAGGAAATTTAAAAAAAAGGGTTTTGAAGCTTGAAAACTCTAGTTTTCAGATTTTTTGGTGAAAAAAATTTTTGAGCTCCGGTTTCCATGCAATTCTTAAACAAAGCTGAAAATATTTTTTTTCTAAATTTTCTAGGTTTTGTTTTTCATCTATGGGCATAAAAATTTTTTCGAGCTACTCCATTGTATAGGTCTCTTAGCGTGTTTATTCAGCTTCAAAAATCGCTTTGGATGGCTCAATTACGACCATTTGTCTCCGAGATATCGAACTTTGAATGCAAAAGCATCCTTTTCCATTCAACTGCTAATATCTCTGGAACTACTGGTCGCACAGCAAGCGGGCGCCGAGTTTCTTTATCTGCATAAAATTTTCTTGTTTTTTTTGATTTTTTTTTTTGATAATGAATTTTTAAAAAACAAAAAATTGAGTAAAAAGTGAAAAACAAATGAAATTATTGATTTTTGAATGGATTAGGGTGAGTTTAAGGGACAAAAACCTTGTTCCCTTATTTTTTCCAAAATTTCAATCAATTGGTCCGGGAAAAACCGTTGAACCGATCGCTCCAGGGATTTGGGGGGGTTCTTTAAGGAACAATAGACTGTAAAATTTTCCTCAAACCTTAGCTTTCCCGCCCATATTAGCGAAGATACAGCCAAGTAACCAAAAAAGGAGAAAAAGTCACTTTTTTCCACTGTTTTCAATTCAATGTTAGAGGTGGAAAAAAATTTTTTCTTCACTAACTCTTGACTGTGCTTAATTGGAAATTTTATGCAGATAAAGAAACTCGGCACCCGCTTGCTGTGCGACCAGTAGTTCCAGAGATATTTTGAATGGAAAAGGATGCTTTTGCATTCAAAGTTCGATATCTCGGAGACAAATGGTCGTAATTGAGCCATCCAAAGCGATTTTTGAAGCTGAATAAACACACTAAGAGACCTATATAATGGGGTAGCTCGAAAAAATTTTTCCATGCCCATAGAGTGAAAAACAAAACCTAGAAAATTTAGAAAAAAAATATTTTCAGCTTTGTTTAAGAATTGCATGGAAACCGGAGCTCAAAAAATTTTTTCAAAAAAATCTGAAAACTAGAGTTTTCAACAAAACCCTTTTTTTAAATTTCCTGTACGATTATTTTTCATACAGCCTGTTGAAAATCACCCAAAAATTTAAAAAAATTTTATG